TGTTTTAATGGTTCCATGGCGCACTTGTGCCTCCATGAACCTGCTTGGGAGAGGAGTTGAGCAGAAAAGCAGTGGCACATTAGAGGTTCCTTAGGATCCGTGCTGCGCTCACTAGGCCACCCACTGCTGTCACTACACGGATACCAAACGGCAGAAACCAAAGGTAATGACAAAGTATGTGGCATTGGTAGTTCAGGTGCTGCTAATGGGGAGGGAAAGCCCACCACACCCTGAGCTTGCAGAGCTGCTTTCCTGTTCCATTGGAATATAGGACTCTCAGAGGAAAATATTGAAGCCAGGAGGCAGATGATAGAAACTTGATTATTGCAGGATATAAAACTAGGGCACTACGACACCTTCAAAACACTCTTCAAGCCTTGGTGATTTGCTTACCTACACAGTACTCGTCCTTCTTTGGACTGTATCTATTTTCATCCTAAAGAAAGGAACATCTAATATTGCAGATAAGATCCAAGGACACCACAGCAGGCAGCCATACACAATTGATTTTCTTGCATTCTCACATTCAGTGCTGCTCCACTGGCAGGTACTGATACAAGTTTAAAAATGTTCTTGGAACTAATCTTCAGACCACTCTTACCTGAATAAATCCAAAATGCACTCTCTTGCTATTTTGTAAAGGCCCCTAGGAAGCAGAGAGCCTGTGCTGCCCCTTGAAGAAAGACGACAGTGAACTGCTAACGTAGCATGGGATTGAAAGGCAAAGAATCCATCTCAGCTCCTTCTCCTTTCCTCTTGCATTCCCTGCTTACATTTGTAGCATGGCTTTGCCCTGAAACAGCCTTCTTTTTCTGTCACTTCTGCTCAGGGTTTTGAAGGCTGTTTTAACACGGACTGTAATGTAAAGATGTAGGCCACAAAGGAAGTTCTGAAAAATATTTAGTTCAGGACTAGTTGTGGAAGAAAAAACGAAGTGAAGAAGATACACAGTTAACTAGGACACAACAAAAATGCTTCCACAAATGCAGGGTTAAAAAACATCATTAGAAAAAAATGTTTCAGGATTGTTTGGGTTTTTGGGTTTTTGGGGTTTGTTTTTTTTTTCCTAATGGTCATAAAGGTCTGTAGAGTTTCAAGATAAACATGCATCAAAGAGTTTGTGTTTATTAGGTATGCATTTTTACTGACTTTGCTTGTGTTCCACCTTTCAAAGAGCAGAACTGGGACTTTTTTGTGATCGCAGGACCGGCAAGTTATACACAGATACCACATGAGTATTCAGATCTTACTTACAAACGTAGTATAGAATATATTAGCAGCATGTGCCAGTGTGGCTGTCTTGCATCAAGATAAAGAGAGAGAGTAATGCTGCTGGGGAATTATGTGCACAAAGCTCTGTGAAGCAAGAATTAAAATGAATGAGATTAAATAGAAAGTAACTACATCAGGAATATGTTAATAATTTAATTAAAGTCTACCAAAGTTGAACTATTCCACAATTAAGGTTGAAGCCCATCGACATGCTCTGTTCTACTTGGGGATTTTGCCACAGGTAGAATTACCTGTTTGGAAATGTTTCTTAATGTATGAGGAAAATGGGGTCAACTAAGAATGTGGTATGATCGTGAACTCTGACAATGTTGGACTTTGCTGTTTTCTCAGACAAGCTTTTACTGATGTTTTAATGTACGTTTTCTTTTACATGGTCTCATTTCTAGTGCATAAAATAAATGTGAATATTGATGCATTTGAAAAACAGGAGGGCAAGATTTAGTGCTCTTTTTTTCCCCAAGCTTGTTTGCTATGTTTTCATGTTTATGTAACTTTCAAGTCAAACAGAAACAGAGCGAAAGGGTTTCTTAACAGCAGAGCAAGAAGCAACACAAAGGCCATCATTATGAAGGACTTAGCACCACAGATTAGTCTGACACATTAAGGACATAGTTATATAGCTCTTAAGAGATCTTCTATATTATCCTTTTAAACTACCCTATAACATTCTATCCAATCCACAGAATGGTATAAAAAATAAATACTATGCTTTCTGGAGTAGCGGATCTTGTTGACTGTACCAGGCAGAGTCAACATCTTCCCCATAAGGCGCCCCGTCTTCATTCTGTTTGTCTTGTAGGAGAACATACAAAATACAGAAAATACCTCCTCGTTACAGCTTCTGTGCCTGCGGCCTTTTGCAAGACCATATGCAGCTTTGCTTTCCACAAACCCAGTTCAGTTTGATGTTCTCAAATGAGAGTGCAACATCACTTTAAAGGCTCAGTACCATAAAATATGGAAAGTCCTTCTTTTATCGGTAGGTTCACATAGTGAATAAGATCAGAACCTTCTTTTTCTCCAGGAGCAGTTAAAACTGCACATAGTGAAAAGACAGTGCATTGTTTTCTGCTGAAAACAATGGAAGACAACTTTTTTTCTTGCATTGTTTTTTGCATGACACTTTCCTACTGAGTATGATGCATTTGTGGACTTTAAGCTTGCACACAGAAGGTGATTGCACTTATGTGATACTGTGTCCTAACAGCTGTAAATGGTTGTACTTGAAATGTACACTTTTAAAGGTGATAAGATATTGGGTTTGTATATAAATACAATACAGACAATACCCTGAACCGCAATAAAGGATTTCACGTAGCGTTACGGTGGTACTTCCCGTAATCAAGCACGGCCTACTATACAATCTTGGCAAGTCAGAAGGTCTCCAGAAGTAAAAAAAAAATGTTTCTAAATATTTCAACTTTTCATTCAGATGTAATCTGAGTAATGACAAATATAAGACACTTCTATTCTTCTCATAGTAAGCAAATGCCCATAAAAGAAGCACCCATTAAAAGCTGCTAGTAATGGTGGTACATGTTGACAATCTCAAGAAAAGAAATGGGCATGGGCATGGCGGGTGCAGTTTGGTCCTGAACCTAGACCGGTACATGTGGCTACTCCTCCCTTGGGCACACTCACAACAAGAAAACCAGTGCTTCACCCTTGCATTTTTTTATATTGAAGATCTTAGATTTTGTCCTTCCCGGTGACAGGTCTGTGTGCACATGCAGGAGATTTTTACAGTCTCACTTCAAGTGTTCCTCCCTCCCTGCAGGTCAGAAATGAGGCCCGTCAGATACTTCATTGCATTACTGGTATTCTTTATCTGCAGTTACGTAGGGAAATTCTATTTTAAAACAGTCAATACAATCTCATTACAAGCACTGCATTTTTATGAGGGGGGGAAATGAGAAAGACAAATGTTACTCCTGTTCATGAATTTGCCTCTTATCATTTCCCCTGTCTGTTCCACAGAGAGTTATATTAGGGGTTATTTGGGTCACTTACCTTGAGAGAGAAAATAATGGTAACCTAATTTCAGATTTATACCAATTTAAGAAAGAAAATGGATTCTGAATATTTTGCATAGTTGCTAAATTTAACTGAGTGTTCAGTGAAGCATGAGTTTCCAAATGCGAATAAGAGGCTTTAAACCATTTTCCCCTATTTGTTTTTAAACTACTTTTGTTACTTATGATTAGCAGTTTTATGTCATTCATATGCAGTGTACTGAAACTGAATTCAATAAACTGACCTTCTTCCACCTATTAAACTAAACTTGGTATTTAATTATTAAGCATGCAAAGTCAAGCAGAAAAGCTAAGGAGCATTTATAAATAAGATCATTGTGTTTTATTTGCAATGAATAGGAATATTTGTGTTTATTACTTTTCAGAAGATATTTATTACTGCTTATTTTGAATTGGAATAAACACAAAAAATAGAACATCTGTATCAAAGTTTAAAAAACCACAACAATCAAAAGCTATTTCATCTCATCCATTTAGTTCTATTGCACAGTCTGTTCAGTGTAACTTTTTACAACGTACCGTGCAAGAAAACAGGTCATTTAAACTCAGTAATTAGTATTACAGATAAAAAGACACTGCAGCAATGTTAATTACTATAGTACTGATGTAGTATAGGATATAATACATAATAGTCATATCTTTAATTTTAAATTGAAGTGCAACAAAGCATATTATTGCTATACTTTCTCTTCTTAAAGTAAATGAATGTTACTCAAGTGTACCATTTGTATCCATGCGGAATGTTTTTAAATAAATCACAATTCTACTTTAACTCAAACTGGCATATTTCACTTTCTAATGGCATAAATTAAGGAACCTCCTGCTATAGGAACTTTTCCTATGACAGTGGAAATTATGACAGAATTATATTCCATATGAAAAATTTCCACAATCATTTTCTTTTTCATTACAGCAGCTGTAAATCAGTTTGCAAATGAAGCACAACATTCCGTCTTTTTAAAGATAAAGAAGAGTCTTGAAGAGCATTACAGCTATTTGATGTGTACTAGGAACTAGAGATATACGATCAAATTGTAATTAATTCTGTACTGCTAAGGCTACGATATCTGGCAATTGTAAACATAAAATATTCATAACAAAACAAAGAGACTTGCGGAGGAGGACAATGAAAGTTTTCACCCGCAGCTCCAGTAGGAGTAGGGCTCCCTGTTTATGAATTATTATATCTCTGCTTTTTGCAGCACCTTTACCTTTGGATAACGTTGTTATAAATATTAAAAGAAGGAAAAAATGAGTTAAATTTCAGATTTGTTCAAGTGTACTTAAATAATTTATGTCAGCTGAAATGTTCCCATTTTCAGTGCAGAAATTCTGTAATGAAGCCATTATTCAGACCTTGCATAAAAAATATTCTAAAAGCTTACTTATTTAGAAGTATAATAATCCTATTCACTGCGTTAACCATGTGCCCCTGGCTAAAATATGTACACATGGATTTAGAAAAATATTTGAATATACAGTATAAGATTCAAAGCAGAAGTTGAAGTATAACCTCAGGTTGCGTATTTCATCTCACAACAATAAGATGTATTGCTACATTTAAATGAAGGTGTGTAAAGAGCAAAATCTTGAAGTGCTTATAACTAGTTTCTAGAATGTACAAATTATTTTTTAAAAACGCCTTTTTTTTTTTTTAACCCCCATTTTGTTTAGGTCAGTGGGACGATGTATAATACAGGGAGACATGTATCTCTACGATTAGACAAAGAGCATTTGGTCAACATCTCTGGAGGACCGATGACGTATAGTCACCGCTTAGAGGAAATCCGGTTACACTTTGGAAGTGAAGACAGCCAGGGATCAGAGCACCTGCTCAATGGACAGGCTTTCTCTGGAGAGGTATGTCAAGGTAGTTGGAGTTACAAATGAACCAGTATGAATTACTCACTTTCCATTCCTGCCTGAAGGTATTTGCAAACTAATTTGTACTCATAAAAATGGTTTTCCTTTATCCGTTCTGAAAATCAAAGAATTAATTTTTTTTTTTTTTGCCCATGCACTGCAAATTGTGTGACTCGTGTCTAAAAATGAAACTGCTTTATTTATTGTATGCCTAGACACCCTATATTCTCATATGCACTACTTAGAAAGTAATCAAGTGTCTTTTGATGGGTCCTTTATATCCCTAGTAAATGCAAATACAAGATTAACCACAAAGCAATACTGAAAGTGCTTCAAGTCCTTATAAAAGTGCTACTTTTGCTACTTACTGGTGTGTAACACTTTACATCGAGTAACATTTTACATTCTGCCTCTGATTCATGTAAAAATAAGGTGATACTTAATTTTAGAGATGGTTCCACAGAAGTCTATGCTCAAGATATAAAGTTAACTCCACAAGTAAACACTGGAAGAATTGGTACTTGCTTTGTATTTTAAATACATGTCTGTAAGTGTTCCAGAAAAGACCATAATTTAATGATCCTGACAGCTATTGCAGGATAGCCCGTTACTCTTGCTGGATAAATATTTTAGTCTTGTATATGGAGTACTTTTTCAAGATGTATAGTAAAGTTTGCAGACTTTCTGGTAGACCAAGAAGAATCTTCCCGTTCTTCGCATGGAGGAGCATTTTTACATAGAAGAAACGCACAGGTTTTGTAGTACCCCATCCTTCCTCAGCTTGTGCCATGTCTGTGAACCGTCCAGCATGCAGCTCTACTCCACAAATCTTAACAAATAAAATAATGCTTCAGAATAACTGGATATTACTGTAGGGATTATTTTTAAAGATACTCAAGGTATCCTTTTACCATTCTTTCAGAAGACCAAAATGAATAGTTTTTCATAATAAAGCACTTATTTTCCTGGAGATGAATAATCAAATTACCATCTGTACTATCTATCACAGACTCTGGCGATGAGTCAGTTAATGCATGGCATTTTCTCTGGCACTGTGCAACAGTACTTATTTAAGAGTAGGAAATTAATTGCAGAGCTGTCAAATGATGATATTATAATTGATGGTAATCATTTGCTTTGTTTTATAAGCTACATAGATGTATAATATAGGCCGTGGCAGCTTTTTCATGAAATTATTCATGTCCTACGCAACTGACTTCTGGTTGCCTTCGTTAAATTCTATAAGTGAACATATAATGTATTACTCCTTTAAGAGCTGAAAGTTAAGTATGCTGTAGTAAATAGTCTTTGCTTTGCTAATCAGATTTACAGAAGAGCAATATTCAAATGAAAGCAGGTTGACTGAACAAGAAAGCAAAAATCTGGTTGAAACATACCATTGCACTTAATATGATATATCAGCATAATTTCAGATATTTTTAAAAGAGTTTTTAAGTACAAATTCATCAGTCATAGACTATAACAAAAGGTAAAAATGTAGAGCATTGTTTTGCAATACTTAATATTTAACTAGGATCTTCTGGTTTTGAAAGTAGGAGTGTTGAACTACTATTAACATTGGTATTATTTGCTAACAGAGACCTCAAGTTTTTCTTAATAAAAGCAGAAAACCTCGCTAAGTGGAAACCGCTGTCAGTCAGTCATGCACAGCTGGATCCACAGCATATGCAGGATTCATCTAGTTATCTGAATTCCTCTTGCAGTGAATAGAAAGAGATGAGCATCTTCAAAAGATGATCATTCCTGATAGCCAGAGATGCATCTCTTAGGACAGGACAAATCGCTGGGGAGATGCATCTCCCTTGACAACAGAGCAGAGACAAACAACAGGCCAAGTAGCTGAGGCTAGACACCTCCATTTCAGATGGTGAGATTAATTCTGTCCTTTGAGGATGTGTTTCTCAAAGTTTCAGATAGCCATTTTGGGCAGCTGGACAGGAAAATTCCAATAAGGTCAAGTATTAATTACTAATTTGAACCTGCATCTCCACAGTTAAGTCTTATTGACAGAACACGTACTTGTTTCCAAAGTACAAGCACAGATTCAAATCAATCATGCTGAATAGCATGGGTGCAGATTTTCAGTGAAGGACGGCAGCTGATGGTGTTCTTAGAATATACATCCACCCATACAAGTGCTGTCTGTATAAATAAGTGATTTTCAGTAAGCTGTCAGCACTGGAAGATGTAATGTCTACAGCTCCCAGCAACTACGGTAAGAAAACTGTAGACAAGCTAGCCGACTTTATGATAGAGTACATGTCTTTATAATGTAATGTATGCTTTCAAGACTGCTGCTGCTAATTACTTTCACTTCTGCATTGGATAATGCTGTCAGAGGAGACAGGATAAAGAAAAATAACTGCATAAGTGCATTAGTTTAATTTAGCTAGTGCAGGTAAGAATAGCAACGAATATTTGCTGGCTTAGGCTTTAGCAGGTTTAGGCAACCAGAGAAAAATCATTGCAAGATTACGCTGTTTGACCGCTAATTGCACGCTAACTCCCATGACGCTGCCTTGTTACTGCTGTTCTTATTTGTGTTGGACAAACCCACTATGGGTTTTACTGAAACCTCTGTTTTGCTGTGGAAACAATTCCCAAGGATGAAGTTACCCGGGAATTGTGATCCATTCCAGGAGATCACAGTCAGCTCATTCCTACTCCTCCTTCCCTCCACTCCCATTCCTATCTGTCCCCTCATTTTCGCTAAGGTCTCCAATGCAGGTTAAAGTCAGCACGTTGCAGAGAGAGAAGGGAAACCTGGGGAGAGGTCAGGGGAGAGAGCAGTACCTCTCCCTCACGGCACTGAGAAACTATTAGATGGGCTCAAACAGACCTAAATTAAATCCAAGTGCAGACAAGGCAGAAGCTTTTAAACAGCCCCGATACACCTTGAATCAGCTGCAGCATTCTTCACACATCTGGAAATCCCACCTAACATCCATACTAAGCAAGAAGTTTGTTCTTAGGGTCTTTTTTTGTCTAGTGAAGATGTTCTGCAAGTGGGCAGACACTCAGAGCAAGCTAGAGAGCACTGGAGTGGTACCATGGCATGAAAAACAATCTAGAAATAGCAAATTGCTTAAAAATATACTGTGGTCTGAATGATACCGAGAGGCTTGTAATTTCCAGGCTTTAACATTTAACTAGGTGTTAAAGGCTGTCAAGAGAGATCTCTACAATAATCTGGTTACCTTTTAGCCCCTAATTATCACTTTAGTAGGCAGAATAACTGAACTAATGCTTAAATAGTTTGAGTGTAAGGGCTTTAAAACTGTGTATCAGATTATCATCGATATGTTTGGCACTGCTAATGTAGAAAGAAAGGCAGGCTTTGGAATGCCTAAATAAATAAATTGAGCATTTACTTGTCCCTCTGATACATACTTGAGTGTGTTTCATTCCCTACTCTTTGCATAAGCATCCTACTGTATTATAATGATTAAAAGAAAACCTTGGCTCAAGCAAAGTCCCCAACTAAGACACCAATCATTCGTGTCTGCTGCCTAATGTCTCTATGCAAAACAGCTTTTAATGCTTCAGAGTCCATATCATTTAATGAGAAAGACCATCTTCCTTTCAGACAGCAGCAGTACAAAGTACAGCAGAATTTACCAGAGTGCTGTTGTTCAGGCACTGTCTACCTTGTTAAAATAAAACAGTAACAATCTCCAAAAGGTTCACGGTAAAAATGGGACTCTTTAACTTTACCATATGGCAAAGTCATAAAAACCCATACCAATTTTTTTTCCTAAGCACAAAAATGAAAATGTGCTGTAGGAGACCTCCAGCCACTTTATGGCTGTGCACTGCAGTAGCCTTATCAATGTAAACACAGAAAGTCAAGGAGCTTAATTATTTGGCGTTATGCACTTTTCACAAACTCAATAGCTGGAGACTTTCAAACAAGAGACCATAATCCACAACGCAGAAAAAAATAGATTTCTTCCTCTCTGCCCACCAAGTCACCCTTTGAAAACCTATTGACAGAGATTATAAACACACAATGATTTCATCCACTACACAAGAAGTAAAATGAAAGCCAGAATACTATCTAGATAAATATGAATACATATTTCAAGCTATATAGACAGTCTGGAACAGAGATTTACTTTTGCTGCTGCGAGAAGCCACTAAGAAAAATGAATAAAATACAAGAAAATGGGAATCAAAGTGGGAGGCTGGAAATTCTGAAATACCAGCCTTCTCCTACTACTGCAATTTCTTTAACTGCTGGGATATTCTATGTGAGTGGGGAACTTCTAGTGATAGCAAAGGATTACTTATCAGAGAGATCAGTGTTGCAAATCCAACTTCTGATATTTTTAGAAGCAGGACTGTCAGACAGACAGCCTATGAGAAGCATCCGGCCAGCTGGAATAATTTAATCCAGCCTGCTGCAGAATTAGAGTAGTCCGAATTGTTAAATCAGAAACAGTGGCTCTGTCACCGAGACCTTCTGTACACCTTTGACTTGCCTGTGTGGTTCCAAATAGCCTCCCCAAAAATCCTAATGTTGGTATTGTTTATTCAAAAAAAAAAAACCAAACAAACAAACAAACAAAAACAATGAATAAACCCTTAGTGGAATAAAGTACTGTATATGTACTATGACTTTAGTTATCTTGGCAAAACAGAACAAGTCATGGCCAATTAGCATGTCAGAAGAAACAGCAAGTACAGGCCAACTCTATATCGTATTGCTTGTTACAAGCCCTTTACATCTCCTTTTATTTGATAAGGCCTCTATCTTCCCAAAAATTTCATCACCCAGCAGGTGAGCGTTCAGCTGCGCCTCCCACATGACATCTGGCTCAGGACTCTGCCTCCTTTTCTAACCTATGGGTCAGTTCTGCACAAAAGCCCCTGTTTTCTCCACACAGTTGCCTACACTTACCCAACATTTAGATTCCTCTCCCACGTCTGTTTTTCTGTTTTGTTCTCTATAGGAAGCCTATGTGAGGGTTTGTGAG